TCGTTGTTATTACGATTTTGTATCTTTTGTCTGAGTTATATTTTTACGATCAATATACAGTCAAAGATATAATCTTTTATGAAAAATTAAATTTGGAATGTCGCGATCAAATACAATTATATTGAAACTTAAGATATTATTAAGCAGTGACAATTCAAATCATATGTAAATTTGTTAAACAAAATCAGTTTATTAAAGTATCAAAGAAAATAATTATTGATTCCAATAAACATCAATTGTCTTATCATAAGACAAAATTGCAAATTTCCAAATGTATCTGTTTAAAAAAGTCAAAAATACATATTTTGACTAACCTATGAAAAATAGTGTGAATTACTGGAAATTCTTTAAAAATAAAATTTCATTTTATTTAAAAACTAAGTTAGAAACTTATTTCAAAGAAAAAGCGGAAAAAAAGAAAATTATAGAAAATTATAAGAAAATAAATGAGTTTATATATTGATTAAGCAATAAAAAAATTGTATATAATATATATATTTAGTTATGTATTATAATGTAAAAAATTTAGTTATATATTATTCATTCTCAAAATGTATGTTTTAGAATTTTATAAATTAAACTTCATTGATTTTTGAAAATTTAATGATATATATAAAAGATTAATATGAATATTCAATTGGATATTACAATGAGGCCAGAAATTCGCTTAGATGCAAAATGGCTCAAAACAGATTTGAAACGTCTACTTTATCGAGATGGTTTAGCTGAACTTTGGAATGAAATGATACGAGATGGAGAAATTGTAGGTTCTTTTAGTGACAGCCTAGTCAATACAGCAGGGATAATAGCTAGAAAAGGTATAAAAAATATGGTACATCAATTAAATATTGGTTAATTAAATATTATTTTAATATTTTCAGGTGAAAGTGGACATTATTATTGCAATATGGGTGTATTAACATGTCCTTGTTGCAATGGGATTTGTGGTCCACAACATGGATGTAATTGTGGACCATGTCAAAAATTAGATGAAGAAGAAGCAGCAAGAACAAATGCATTTATAGAAAAAAATATGATAGCTGAACATGTAATGGATTCTTGGCTTTGGGGTTCTCAGCCATGTAAAGAATTTTAATATATAAAAATGTTCTGTATTAAATATTATTAAAATATATAATTTATTATTAGATTCTAAGTATTTTTATAACATAAATTTTTCAGCTATTCACGATTTAACAACATGTATTAAATTACTAATTAAGGAGCAAAGAAAATTATGTTATGAAGTTGCAAACAATACATTATCTGCTATAAGATTAAAACAACGTTTGGTAATAGCACGACGATATTTTATGGCCCATTCTCGTCATAAACCTCAAGAAACTAAAGATATTTCAACAACATCAAAACCTACTATCAAGTTACAAAAAATGTATAATAATCAATATTAAGATTAAATTATTAGAAATTATTAGAATATTTTTTATTTATATAATAAACATTATAAAATATCTTAAATATCATGAATGCATTTAGATTATAAAATTTATGTGCATGTATATATGCATGATTTTAATTGATTATTAATTATATATTGTTTAAATTAGTATTTTTTTTATATTTAAAAATATATATATATATATAT